TATGCCTGTAGTCACAGAAATGAAAGAAGCTAATGCTTAGAACATACCTAGATTAAATTCTACAGTCACTGTGCTGAGGTGAGGAGCAATAGCTAATAAAATCTTTAGATTTTTTTGAGAAAAAATTTATTGGAGTGTAACATATATACAGAAAAGTATACAAATCCTAAATATAGAGATCAATAAATAATAAAAAGGTGACTACATCTATGGAAACAACAGTCAGGTCAAGAAATAGTAGAAATAGTAATCAGGCCAAAGCAGGATGATTACTTGAGCCCAGGATTTCAAGGCCAGCCTGGGCAACACAGGGAGACCCATATCTACAAAAGGTTTTTTTTTTTTTAAAATCAGGCATGGTGGTTTATGCCTGTAATCTCAACACTGGGAGGCTGAGGTGGGAGGATTGCTTGAGCTCAGGAGTTTGAGGCCACCCGGGGCAACAGAGTGAGACCCCATCCCTATAAAACATAAATTTAAAGGAATTAGCTGGTCATGGTGGCATGTGTCTGTAGTCTCAGCTACTCGGGAGGCTGTGGCAGGAGGCTCACTTGAACCAAGGAACTAGAGACTGCAGTAAGCTGTGTTCATGCCATTGCACTCCAGCCTGGGCAACGAAGCGAGACCTTGTTTCTAAATAAATAATACAAAATCATAAAGACAAAAAGTGAAACTGATTGCTAGGGGTTAGCGGGAAGGGGCAATGCTCATTATTATGTAATGGATGATAGAGTTCAGACTCTGTCTTTAAAAAAAAGAAGGAAAAAAAGAAAGAGTAGTCTATGAAAAATCTAATTCAAGGTACAAATAGATCAGAATAGTAGTTGAAGTTTGGAGTTATCATGTGGGAGGGGACATAGCTACTGGGGGATGAAATAGTCCATATCTGAATCTAGAATATTTAACATTATGAATGTTTTCCATATGTCAAAATGCTATAATGCTATACATTTAAGATTTGTACATTTTCTCTGGTTATAATTCAATTAAAAAGTAAAAAAAAAAAATTTTTTTTTTTTTTTGAGACGAAGTCTGGCTCTGTCCCCCAGGCTGGAGTGCAGTGGCGCGATCTGGGCTCACTGCAAGCTCTGTCTCCCGGGTTCACGCCATTCTCCTGCCTAGCTGGGACTACAGGTGCCCGCCACAGCGCCTGGTTAATTTTTTGTATGTTTAGTAGAGACGGGATTTCACTGTGGTCTCGATCTCCTAACCTTGTGATCCGCCCGCCTTGGCCTCCCAAAGTGCTGGGACTACAGGCGTGAGCCACCGCGCCCGGCCGTAAAAATGTTTTAAGAATGAGTTTTGCCTGTTTTTGAACTATGTGTAAACGGACTCATACTGCCAGTGTTCTTTTGTGTCTTGCTCAACATTACATTTGAGAAATTCATCCGCGTGGTTGTATATAGTTGCAGTTCATTCATTTTTATTGCTCATAGTGTTCAGTTGTATAAATATGCCACGTTTTACTTATCTATTCTATTTTGGGGTTGTATCCAGTTTGGAGCTGATGTGAATAATATTCCTGTATATGTCTTTTGGTGCATCTGTCTTTTCTGCAGGACATATATTTAGTAGTAAAATTGCTGGGTCTTAGGGTATGTGCGTGTTCGATTGAGTATACTAACAGCTTTCCAGAGTGATCATACCAATTTATTTATTTATTTATTTTTACAGATGGGGTCTCGCTGTGTCACCCAGGCTGGAGTGCAGTGGCATGATCATCGCTTACTGCAACTTTAACCTCCTGGGTTCAAGCAGTCTGCGCACCTCAGCTGGAATCTCAGCTCACTGCAACTTTGGCCTCTGGGATTCAAATAATTCTTGTGCTTCAGCCTCCCAAGTAGCTGGGATTACAGGCATGCACCACTGCACCCAGCTAATTTTTGTATTTTTAGTACAGATGAGGTTTCACCATGTTGGTCAGGCTGGTCTTATACTTCTGACCTCAAGTGTCCGGCTGCCTTGGCCTCCCAATGTGCTGGGATTACAGGCATGGGCTACCCCACCTGGCCCCTCTGTTTATACATTTGAGTAAACTGCAGACACAATGCCACTTTACCACTAAATAACTTTGCAAAAACAATGATATTCTCTTACATAATCACAATACAGTTATGAAAATCATGAAATTAACACTGATACAGTACTATAATTGGTGTACCTTATTTAAATTTCATCAGTTATCTCACTAATGTCCCCTGTAGCAAAATAATAAGTTTTTTAAAACCTTGGTCCAGAATTCAGTCCAGCATCACATATTACACTTAGTTGTCACGCGTAAAAAGAAAAACCAGGCTGGGTGCAGTGATGTGAGGTGGGAGGATTGCTCGAGGCCAGGAATTCAAGACCAGCCTGGACAACAGGTGGAGACCACATTTCTACAAAAAAGAAAAACCTTTTTTTTTCTTTTGGCCTTTAATCTCACCACCAAAATGTGTGGGGATTTTTATCCCACTAAGCCATGCTTCAGTGGATTCTCCATCGGGGTGTCCCATAATTCTGTTCAATTCTGATGCCACACATTGCATGCCTGTACCAAAATATCTCATGTACTCCAGAAATGCATACACCTACTATGTACTTACAAGAATGATAAGTAAATGAATGAATGAGTGAATGAAAACTCTGACACGATCCTTAGGCCACTGATACTTCTGACTGGCTAGAAATCAGGGTTCCTGCAACCTCTCCTTGGGTTTGACTAATTTGCTAGGACAGCTCACAGAACTCAGGCAAACACATTGCCAGTTTATTATAAAAGATATCATAGGCCGGGCGTGGTGGCTCAGGCCTGTAATCCTGTTACTGGTTGAGGGTGTCCAGGTTCTTGGCATCTTGAACAAAGAATTGGACAAAATGCACAAACAAATCAAGGACAGAATGAAGCAACAAAAGCAGAGATTTCTCGAAAACAAAAGTACACTCCAGAGGTTGAAAGTAGGCCTGAGCATAGGGGATCAAGAGCCCCGTTACAGAATTTTCTGGGGTTTAAATACCCTCCAGAGGTTTCCATTAGTTACTCGACGTACACCCTATGTAAATGAAGAGGATGAAGTAAAGTTACAAAATCATTTACTCACTGTACAGCCTAGGTAAATGAAAAGGATATTTCCTGTCATAGCTGAGATGTTTCCATTTGATTTAGTTTTCGGAAGTCCTTAGGTTCCCTGCCTCCAGGTCCTATTCTCCTGCCTAATCCTAGTACTTTGGGAGGCCAAGGCAGGCAGATTACTTGAGGCCAGGAGTTCGAGACCAGCCTGGCCAACATGGTGGCTACTAAAAATACAAAAGTTTTTTGTACGCCTGCCATGAAATGCGTGCGGTGGCTCACTCCTGTAATCCCAGCACTTTGGAAGGCTTGAACCAGGAAGGTAGAGGTTGCTGTGAGCCGAGATCGCACCATTGCACTCCAGCCTGGGCAACAAGAGTGAAACTCCATCTCAAAAAAAAAAAAAAAAAAAAAAAAAAAAAAGAGTCTTGCTGTCTTGCTCTGTTGCCTAGGCTGGAGTGCAGTGGCATGATCTTGGCTCACTGCAACCCCCACATCCCAGGTTCAAGTGATTCTCCCATCTCAGCCTCCCAAGTAGCTGGCCAACGTGGTGAAAGCTCATCTCTACTAAAAATACAAAAATTAGCTGGGCGTGGTGGCAAGCACCTGTAATCCCAGCTACTCATGAGGCTGAGGCAGGAGAATCGCTTGAACCTGCGAGGCAGAGGTTGCAGTGAGCTGAGATCGCGCCATTGCACTCCGGCCAGGACAACAGAGTGAGACTCAAAAAAAAAAAAGCAGGGTCTTGGCCGGTCACGGTGGCTCAGGCCTGTAATCCCAGCACTTTGGGAGGCCAAGGCAGGTGGATTACATGAGGTCAGGAGTTCAAGAACAGCCTAGCCATCATGGTAAAACCCCGTCTGTACTAAAAAATACAAAAATTAGGTGGGCCTGGTGGTATATGCCTGTAATCCCAGCTACTTGGGAGGCAGAGGTTGCAGGGAGCCATGATCATGCCTCTGCAAACCAGCCTGGGCGACAGAGTGAGATTGTCTCAAAAAAAAAAAATCATAAAAAGATACAGATGAACAACCAAATGAAGAGATGGATATGGCAAAGTAGAGAGGGAGGGTTATGGTGCTGCTGTGACCTATGGGTGTGCCACCCTCCCAGCACCTTCTGGTGTTCAGCAGAAAGGAAATTCATCAAATCTTAGTGTTTAAATTTTTAAAAAATATTTTTCAAATGCACTTTAATTTTCTTTTTTTCCTTCCTCACATACAGAACTTCTCCACATACCACATTTCTTACACACGCTATAAAGTCACTTGATGTTGGCCGGATACCATTTTTATCTCTAAACTCTGTGACATCAAAAATATGACAGTGTTATATCCATAAAATATTTACATACTTTAGCATATTAAGCTTTAGACACTTAACAATTAAAACCACATAAAAAAAGGACAAGACCCCATCCACCATGTTTGGAATCAGGTGTTCTGGTCCTATCTGGCTGACTGTGTACACTGTAGTTCAAAGAGACATGAGAGGCAACAGGCAGTTGCGCCAGAGGACATTGAACACTACAGTCTGGAAGCACGTTATGATGTAACCCAGAGTCATGTACACATCTTTCTCCACAGGTGGTCTCATGATTCCCCTAGTGGAAATTCGCTAAATAACAAATAGGGACCGGATGATGACGTTTTGTGTAGTGGGTTGTCATAAACACCTTTTATTGCGTAATGATTTTTGAACATAAACAAATAAAACTTGTCCACTTGCATCATCTCACAAACACTTAGGTTTGACAAATAATCGTCTTATAACTGTTGCTTTATTCCCAGTATTGGGCCAAGCGTACAGACAGTGACAGTGAGCTGTCAGATGTCCACATGAGTTTTCCATAATGCTGAAGATGTTTTAGAATCTATAATTCCATTATGAGGATAAAATGCTACATTTAGTATATTTTCATTCTTTGAAACACACACATCCTTGCACTCCTTCAGTTTATCCTTGGCACTCCTTCAGGCTTTAATCCAATTATTCTGTTCATTTTCACAAGAATACAAGGGTTTCCTTGAGAATAGCCAAAATCAGGATCATTCATACCACTGCATGCTTGAAGTAACGAAATAGGAAACTGACATGCAACATAAACTGGACCCTTCTGTTCGGAAAGTGCTCCATCAGGACAGACTGTGAGGTTCTTCTGTTCTTCTAAAGTATACGGTTTTAGAAACTTCTTAAGGTCTTCAATGTACCCTGCATACGAAGTTGGATCAGACCTACAGAATGTATATTCCAATGCAGTCACTGGTTTTGGAAAAACCGTAAGTCCTGGGCTAGGAATCTGGTCACGGTATTTTGGAACACGGTATTTGGTTGAGAGTCTGAAGCATAACCCACATCGTGAATGAGAAGAGTGCAGCCAGGAACCCATAAAAAACTAGGTAGAAGAGCAAGATCAAACCCCAGCTGTTGGCCGTGCGCCCCAGGAACTCTCCGGTGGTCAGGTTGCATATGAAGAGCTTCCACTGGGCGAGGCTCTGGTTGAGGGACTTCTCGTTCTTCGTCAAGTTGTGCGCGCGGACGGCGAGGGGAGCGGAGGCCGCGGGGTTGCAGGCGGCGAGGGCAGCGGGGATGGAGGCGGCGAAGGCAGCAGGAATGGAGGTGGCGAGGGCAGCGGGGGCGCGTCCCGGCTCCGGCGGCGCAGCCTGGCGACTGCAGAGGAGGGTGGGACGGCCGGGAACACCTCCTCGTTATTGGGAGTACTCGAGCCGACTACAGTGTTTACATTTTTAATAGAGCTAAATTTCTTGCACCCTCAGCCCTTCCAGATGTTGGTGGGTGGGGCTTAAGTTCCAACCCTCTAATCCTCTAATCACCTGGACTTTCTGGTGACCAGCACCATCCTGAAGCTATCTACGGGCCCGCCCTAAGCAGGTTCATTAGCATAAACTCAGGACTTATCAAAGGAATTAATTATGAATAACAAAAATCCTCCTAGCACTCAGGATATTTCTAGGATTTTAAGAGTTCTGGGGCAGAAACTAACCAAATACATTTTATACCACATCATGTCTCTTTAGTCTTCTTTACTCTAGAATAGTTTCTCAGTCTGTCTTTTTCTTTCTTTCATTTTTATTTACTTAAAAAGAATTTTTTTTTTTTTTTTTTTTTTTTGAGATGGAGTTTCACTGTTGTTGCCCAGGCTGGAGTGCAGTGGCGCAATCTCGGCTCACGACAACCTCCACCTCCAGGGTTCAAGCGGTTCTCCTGCCTCAGCCTCCCCAGTAGCTAGGATTACAGTTGTATACCACCACGCCTAGCTAATTTTGTATTTTTAGTAGAGACGGGGTTTCCCCATGTTGGTCAGGTCTTGAACCCCCAACCTCAGGTGATCCGCCAGCCTTGGCCTCCCAAACTGCTGAGATAACAGGTGTCAGCCACCATACCTGACCTTTAATGTTTTAATTCTTTTAAAATTCTTTTTATTCTAATAATTTTTCTGTAGATTATTCTGAATTTTCTTGACATGCAAGTATGTCAATTCCATATAATTGAGGAGACAGACAGAGAGACCCTCTCATATTGTTTTATATTGTTTTATACTCAGTACCTGTTTTAAGAAAAAAACAAGGAAGTAAAACCAAAGACAGGCAGCCCGGTGCCAGGCCCAAAACCAGGCCTGGGCCTGCCTGGCCTAAACCCAGTAGTTAAAAATCAACTAATAACTTAGAAACCGATGTTATTCATAGATTCCAGGCATTGTATAAAAGAACGTAGTGAAACTCCCGGCCCTGTTTTGTTTCTCTCTGACCACTGGTGCATGCGGCCCCTATCACGTACCCCCTGCTTGCTCAAATCAATCACGACGCTTTCATGTGAAATCTTTAGTGTTGTGAGCCCATAAAAGGGACAGAAATTGTGCACTCGGGAAGCTTGGATTTTAAGGCAGTAGCTTGCCGATGCTCCCAGCTGGATAAAGCCCTTCCTTCTACAACTCGGTGTCTGAGAGGTTTTGTCTGCGGCTTGTCCTGCTACATAATGACAGTTTTTTCCTTCTGTTTTGAGCCTTATACGTTTTATTTTTTCTTGCCTTCTGTATTTGCTAGTACAATGTAGAGGTAGTGGATATCATTGTCTTGCTCCCAACTTCAAGAGGAAAAACTTTGATATTTTACTACTATTTTACTATTTAATATGATATTTGCTATAGTTTTTCATTGAGTCACTTATCAGATTAGGGAAGATCTTTTCTATCCATTGACATTAGAATTTTTTTTTTTTTTTTTGGAGAGAAAGTCTTGCTCCATCTCCCAGGCTGGAGTGCAGTGGCACAGCCTTGGCTCACTGCAACCTCTGCCTCCCAGGTTCAAGTGATTCTTCTTCCTCAGCCTCCTGAGTAACTAGGACTACAGACACGCACTGCCACACCCAGCTAATTTTGTGTTTTTAGTAGAGACAGGGTTTTGCCATTTTGGTCAGGCTGGTCTCAAACTCCTGACCTCAGGTGATCCACCTGCCTCGGCCTCCCAAAGTGCTGGGATTACAGGCATGAGCCACTGTGCCCGTGCGCCCGGCCTTTTCTTCTTTTTTGTTGTTTTGTTTTGTTTGAGATTGAGTATTGCTCTATTGCCCAGGCTGCAGTGCAGTGGAGCAATCTCAGCTCACTACAGCCTCCACCTCTCAGGTTCAAGGGATTCTCGTGCCTCAGTTACCTGAGTAGCTAGGATTACAGGCATGCGCTACCACACCTGGATACTTTTTCTATTTTTTGTAAAGATGGAGTTTCGCCATGTTGGCCAGGCTGGTCTCAAACTCCTGGCCTCAAGTGATCCACCCTCCTCAGCCTCCCAAAGTGCTGGGATTACAGGTGTGTGCCACCACATCTGGCTTGTTTTTGTATTTTTTAGTAGAGAGGGGGTTTTGCCATGGTCTCAAACTCCTTGCCTCAAGTGATTTGCTTGCCTGCCTCAGCCTCCCAAAATGCCAGGATGAGCCATGGCCTGAGCCACGGCAGTCAGCCTAGGTTCTTTCTTTTTCTTTTTTACTTTTTTTGAGATGGAGTCTGGCTCTGTTGCCCAGGCTGGAGTGCAGTGGCTCAGTCTCGGCTCACTGCAACCTCTGCCTCCTGGGTTCAAGCGATTCTCCTGCTTCAGCCTCCCAAGTAGCTGGAATTACAGGTGCCTGCCACTATACCTGGCTAATCTTTGAATTTTAGTAGAAATGGGGTTTCGCCATGAGGCTGGTCTCAAACTCCTGACCTCAGGCAATCCACCCCCCTTGGCCTCCTGAAGTGCTGGGATTATAGGCATGAGCCACTGCGTCCGGCCCCTAGGTTCTTATTTTTAAGAGTAAATTGCGGCCAGGGGTTCTTATTTTTAAGAGTAAATTGCGGCCGGGCATGGTGGCTCCCGCCTATAATCCCAGCACTTTGGGAGGCCGAGGAGGGTGGATCACCTGAGATAAGAAATTCGAGACCAGCCTGGGCAACGTGATGAAACCCAATCTCTACTAAAATACAAAAATTAGCCAGGCGTGGTGATGCACGCCTGTAATCCCAGCTACTGGGTAGGCTGAGGGAGGAGAATCACTTGAACCTGGGAGGCAGAGGTTGCAGTGAGCCTAGACTGAGCCACTGCACTCCAGCCTGGGCAAACAACAGTGAAACTCCATCTCAAAATAAATAAATAAATAAACAAATAAAACTAAATTACAATTACCCCAAATGGTTTTTTTAATCCTAACTACAATTTGGCCCAGGTTATGGTCAATTTTGGTAAATGTGTCTAGTTCCCTTTCCCAAACACTATGACCATATAACAAATCGCCCATAAAATTAATTGTTTTGAACAACAATCATTTTTACCTCTCATGGTTTCTATGTGTCAAGAATTCTAGAGCAGCTCAAGGGCAGTTCTGCTCAAGTTCTCTCATGAGATTGCAGCCTGACTGGTTGGGGTTAGCTTATCTCAAAGGTTTCTTCATTTACATGCCTGGTGCTTATGCTAAGGAGACTCCAACAGCTAGGTACTGGAACACCTGGAGCTCCTCAGACATCCCTTTTAACCCTGTGTGGTGTCTCCTGCAAGGCAGCTTGAAGGTAGTTAGATTTACATAACAGCTCAGGGGTTCCCAAGGTAGGTGCCCTAATAGAGAGGCAGGGAGAAGCTGTTTTATGACCTAATCTTTGAAGTCACATGGCATCATTCCACCAGATTTTTTTGGTTGAAGTAGACACAAAAGGTTACTCAGGTCTAAGGGTAGGGAACATAGACCTATCTCTCAAAGGAGGAATATCCAGTCACATTGTAAGGAGAACATGTGGAATCAGATACGTACTGCCATGGCAGTCTTAGAAAATGCAGCTTGCCGTAGCAGCATCCCACAAGTCCCACAAGCAGCCTGATGGTCATCTTTGCCATCAGACCCAGCTCTAGCTTTTGTGTTAGGTCACATATGTCCCTTTTTTTCTCTGCCCCCAGCAGCATAGTGCCCACTTCATTGTCTTTCATGCACAGCCACACTCTGGAGTCCCACAGTCCTTGCGCTTAAAGGCAAGGTCTTTTCTTGTTTGTTTCTTATTTCTTTGGCTGGAGGGCAGTGGTGCAAACATGGCTCACTGCAGACTCAACCTCTTGGACTCAAGTGATCCTCCCACCTCAGCCCTGCCAAGTAGCTGGGAGCACAGGCACGTGCCACCACACCCAGCTGATTTTTGTATTTTTTGTAGAGATGGGGTTTCGCCATGTTGCCTGTTGCAGGTGAGTGGCAACTATCTAAGATTGCTATCATGCAGGCGGTAAAGGAATTTACCAAGACAGTTGTTGGTAAAGAAAGGCAGATTTATTACAGAAAGTATGAAAAAAGCCGGCGCGGTGGCTGTAATCCTGTAATCCCTGTAATCCCTGTAATCCCTGTAATCCCAGCACTTAGGGAGGCTGAGGTAGGCAGATCACGAGGTCAGGAGTTAGAGACCAGCCTGGCCAAGATGGTGAAACCCCATCTCTACTAAAAATACAAAATTTAGCCAGGTGTGGTGGCCCATGCCTGTAATCCCACCTACTCAGGAGGCTGAGACAGGAGAATCACTTGAGCATGGGAGGTTGAGGTTGCGGTGAGCCGAGATCCCTCCATCGCACTTCAGCCTGGGTGACAAGAGCCAGACTCCATCTCAAAAAAAAAAAAGAGAGAGAGAGAAAGTATGAAAATACATTGCAAGGATGCAAGGGGCAGGTCAGTGAGAGAGGGGCAGACTGCAAGGAGACAAAGGTTTGCTGGGGATTTTATAGGATGGTACTGTGTGCTGACAAGGGCTTACAGCAGTGCTGATAACACCAAGGTTGCAACAAGCTAATTAATCTGCAGGTGTCTTGTGATAAATTGGGTGCAGGAGAGCTACATATCCTGGACCATGAAGAAAGACAGACCCACAGGTTATGTGCTTTTGCTTTCTCTTGGTCTTGCCAGCCTGACTCCCTTTCCCTAGATAGGACTCCACATTGCCCAGGCTGGTCTCCAACTCCTGAGCTCAAGCAATCCTCCCCACTCAGCCTCCCAAACGCTGGTATTACAGGCAACAGCCCCTTACCCGGCTTTTTTTTTCTTTTTTTTTCTTTTTTAAGACATGGTCTCACTCTGTCACCCAGGCTGGAATGCAGTGGTGCAATCACTGCTTGCTGTAGCTTTGACCTCCCCCGGCTCAGGCTGTCCTCCTGCCTCAGCCTCCTGAGTAGCTGGGACTACAGGCAC